AGAAATGTCCAATAAAGCTAATGCGGATTTACAGAAGACAAAACTGCACCTGAATTGATCATCACCGCCTATAAAAACTGCACCCCTGTGTCTATGTGAACTGGTCAAATACTTGGTGCTTTGAAAACCATTTTGTAGGACAAAATGACCTAGGACTGGCGCTTTAGGCTTGCATGCTAAATAAATGAATCTCAGCCTGTTTGGGGGTCAGAACTGGTTCAGCGTCAGCAGAATACTGGTGTAAAATGTAGCAGATATGAACATGAACTTTGACGTAGTATGGGCTAAAGTTTTAACATCGTTTGAAAAGAGAGATGAAAATTGATCTTTCAAAGTCTACAGTTTAGGCATGATTAAAAGACTATTAGCTTATATATGAAATATTCTGTTTTTCCAATACTGGTTAAACCATACACTTTTAAAATTAACTTAGGCACACAAACTGGTTAAATTGTGGGTTTCTCGAAAGTTGTTGGAAAGAAGATAGCAGATAAACCTTTGGTTTGATCCAGCAGAACTTATGTTCAAGTTAAAGTTTTTTTGGCTTAAAGAGCTTGGCAAAGCAAAGCAGTATTTGACATCTCGAGTTTTACAAACCACCTTAAACTATTATATTAAGAAGCATCCCAAAAATAAATCAAGCTAAAAGCAAACAAAACAAAAACTGCTAGCAAAGTTAAATATTTTTCACACCATAGCAACACATCTAAGACTCTGGACACTGTATTTGCTTTAAAGCTATTGTTTAGATTTTGGAAATGTTGCAGCCAAACATTTGAAAAGGGGGAAATGGAGAATGTAACAATTATAAACTGAAATACCAGTAAAGAGCTCTTCACTTGAGTCATTCATAGTTTAATATTACGTTGACTGTTAACTAGAAAAAATCCTTTCCGATATACTAGCTTTGGAACTGTGTGTATTACTGGATATAAAATTTTCATCATTCTCTTGGGCCAATTCCATTTCTCCTAATTGCTCTCCCCATCCCCAATGTATTTTATGTCTTACACTGAGAAATAACATTCTTGTTCCAAAGCTGGCTTCTCCAACCTGGTGCCCTCCAGGTGTTTTTGGACTACAACTACCACCACCCCGATCATTGATCATGTTGGCTGGGGCTGATAGGAGTCCTAGGAATATAGGAAGCTGCGTAAATCAGACCAATGGTCCATGTAGCTCAGATCTGCCTATTCCAGGGATAGCTTATGTGGTGTCCTCCAGGTGTCATGAAGCCAGTGTGGTTAAGAGTGGTAGACTCGTAATCTGGTGAACCGGGTTTGCTTCCCCACTCCTCCACATACAGCTGCTGGGTGACCTTGGGCTAGTCACACTTCTTTGAAGTCTCTCAGCCCCACTCACCTCTCAGAGTGTTTGTTGTGGGGGAGGAAGGGAAAGGAGAATGTTAGCTGCTTTGAGACTCCTTCGGGTAGTGATAAAGCGGGATATCAAATCCAAACACTTCTTTCTTTTTCAGTGGTGGCTCCCTGTTTATGGACTGCTCTCCCCAGGCAGGCATGCTTGGTGGTATCACTATTTGCTTTTAGGAGCCAGGCAAAAACATTCTTATGTACCCCAAGTCTTTGGACCCTAATTTTCAGCATGCCTTTTACTGGGGTGGGGTTGATTTATATATATTGCATGTATGGTTTTGGTTGTTTCATCTACAATACTATCCTTTATCCCTTAAAATATGTTTGACTATGTATTAGCTGATATTATATCTTTAAAATCTCAAGTGAGAAAACCCAAGTAAAGGATAAAAATACCAGTGGTCCCGTTTGTGTTTGAACTCTTGGTTCCGTAGGGTTTTGGAATTTAAAACTAGAGACTTAGAGCAGAGTCATTTAACTCTGGTGTGAACAGATGATGTGGATTCTTAGCTTCTACATTTTACTTTATTTAGAATGAATCTCTTAACAGCATTTTGAAATTTGAGTAAGATCTCACTATAGCTGAGATCTTACTGCAAAATTGCTTGTCTTCCATCATAATTTCTTTGCTTTTCTGATGTGAAAAAGTAACACCTTTTTTCCCTTTTCTTTCTTTGTTTACTCACAGAAACTACTTTTGTTATTTTTTAAAAAATTAAATATTATTTGTATGTCCACACCAATTGCTAAGGACAGATCCCACATTTTAGAATGCTCCCCCAAATGAATTCAAGAACTGTAACATTTAATAAGCTAATATAGCCCAAGCCAATCGTATGCAAATCTGGGAACTCATAAACATTAATAAAATCACAACTACCAATTTCACGGTTCCACCATACATCTATTTTTGGATCTATATACCTATAATACAGAGAACTTAATCTTGTCCAAATAACATATATATGAATGACTTTGTTTGTCTGGACTTATGCCTCTTCCAACACATTTTTTTACAAATCACATCTGTTTCAGCTTTAAGCTTTCACTCGCATTTTGCCAGCAGCCACAGGTTTTTAATGGCTATCATAAACTACAGATGCTCATCAGATCTTTTGTATATGTACTAAAAAACAAAATGCTCTTCAGTTAAAATATTCCATGCAGAATTTTCTACAATGTTATACGGGGGAAAACTTTTTTTTATTTATTTACTGTGAATTCCCATTTTTGGAGGTCAGCAGAGCACAGTCTTCACCTCCGAGACACCTCTTCTGGGCAGACTCAATCTCTTCACCAGTGGAAGCACAGAACACAAGTCCCTCAACCTGGCATTGCTTAGCAAAGAACTATCAGCTAAACACCAAATGAAGCACTGCAACAGTTCAAACAATAACACAATAGAACTTAATGAGAAGAGTGATCCCAGTGAGGTTTTGTCCAAGTTGTTTAGGTCTGACAGATAAGCATGGTGCCCCAAACAAAGTTTCTTCCTTCCTGGCACTTGACAGCTGTACCACCTTCTCTTTCATTTAAACAAGGAACACCTCTAGCAGGACAACCAAATGCAGGGCTGGCACAGCCACCAGGCAGGGTTAATCTGCCTCCCCAGGCAGCAGAATCCCCACAGGCAAAGCCACTGCAGACACCCTAGTGGAGAAGCAGTGGCAGCATCCGCAACCATTTGCAGTGAGAGCTCAATGAAACTGCATGGCATCTTGTGGAGCACGTGAGATCTTGCCAGAAATCGACACAATGCCAACACCGCTTCTCCACCAGTGCCACTCTTCTGCTGGCAGTAGAGCTGGCAGGGCAGGACGTCCTGTTTCACCTCAAGCAGTGAAACAGGATGTGCCGCCCCTGCCAAAATGTGTAGAACCCATGAAATGGGAATATGCCAGAATCTGAATCTGTAGGAATACGCCAGAATCTGAATCTGTAGGAATGATGTCTCTCTCTCTAGAGAAGTTGCTAGATGAAGCTTCCCATTGATCAGCTCTTGTGCCTAGACTTGTGATCTTCTTTGTGGTTGGCGAAATGTCTTCCTTTAGTGAAAATGGCCTGCTCTCCCCTGTCCCCTACACAGAGCTCTCTTGACTAAATGAATTCAACCAAATGCACTTCACTCAGGTTGATAAGGCACATGGAACTTTATGTCCCATGCAAAGCAAAGTAGCATGTATCCTAGAGAAGTGCCTGCATAATTTCTATCCAATAGTTAGTGAAATCATCAGCTGCTGTAGAAGCAAAGAGTCTAACAAACTCCTCAGTTTAAACAGGCTGGAAAAGATGAAAAGTGAAATCAGCATTCTGCTTTTCTTTCTGCCTTCGTTTTGTAACTGTCATTGACATCATAAGCATGTCAAAGTCTTGAAGCACGGCCAGCAAGAATGAAATCTAGAGCACCAGGACTACACATTTGGAAAAACAGAAGACCAAACACAGATCACGTTTCAGCACAAACTAGCACAAGAGAGGGCAGGCCAAGGGTTTTACAGAGCTAAGAGATGAGAGGAGATAGAGCATTCATGTATGCCAAAGATGAATAAATAACAATTGATACTTCCTTACCACAGCTGACCTTTGAAACTTTCTTTAAGGGGACTATAGGCTAATTCAGCCATGTCTAACTGGAATAATAAATTATTTTGTGAAGACTTTTATTGTTTAACCTTAACAAAATCCTTTCATTCAATATACATAGAAAGCTCTATTTTAAGGACAGTAAGACCAATATTATTATATAGATTATTCCCTATTCTTAAAGGAGTAAATTTATGCCTTAGTTTATGGGCCCAAATAATTTAATTTTGCTAATCTGTTAGTTAAAATATCAGTGAAACTTTAGTTTGAGTCATTGTGGCCAAAGCACTAGATGTGAACTTCTTTGTTTCCTTTCCTGGAATACCTGGAGAATAAAATGCCCATATACAAGTAAGGACAATTTGTGTGCAACTGGACCTTCCTCCTCTTGAGTAGCCCCTTCTGTCAAACAGTCAAACCACTCTTCCTTTTAAAAGGGGCCTTTTCTTGGTTCTTTAGGAGTAGAATTTCTCTTTAATCTGCAAGCACCATCTCTAGTTGCATGCAATTATTTTGACTGTGCCCAAACTGCTTATTTTATTCTCCATTACTGTGAACAATGAACAGTCCTTCACATGATTATTGCACATTACTGAACTATAGAGACAAGTATACAGGTTATTGGGCTCATCCATTTGCAAGGTTAAATTCAGAGCCCCCCAGAGAAATTAGAATAAATTTGCTTGGAATTCACACATTTCCTGCAGATTTCCTTTGGGAATGAAGAACTGAATGTGATATTAAGAAAAGTATTTGTCACTGGCTTTGAAATAAGAAGTCTACTCCTGGGACAGACCATTGAACAGCATAACCTTTAAGTTTGGTTTCAGGAATAAGCACTAATAACGGGCTGCAATCCCAACCTCACTTGCCTGGGTGTACTGAATTCAATACAACTTACTTCTGAGTAGACATGGCTAAGCTTGAATTGTTAAGCAGTAAGGCTGCAATCCTATGCAAATTTATGGAAGCTTAATAGATTTTAGGGGGACTTACTTCCAATATAACATACAGATTTTTAAATGGTACCTGGTCCTTATTTACCTTCTAGATCTCTCTTCAGTTTTCTCAAGTCTTTTATTAGGTCTTCAAACTTAACTTGCGATGCTTGGAAGAAATCCTGCGGTTCTGGTAGAGGAAACACACTCCTTTCTGTTCCCGCATCCTAAACAAGACAAAGAAAAAAAACCTGGTAGCTATAATAGTGTTAAGATTTTCTGACAAAACAAGCCATTGTTCCCTAAATGTGAACCTATCAATGTGATCAAATAAATAGAACCAAAAGATTGTAAGTGCAGCATTTATTCAAGTGGCAGAATGTAAATTATTGTACCAGTCTTTCCCCCTCTTCTTATGTAGTTTAAAGATTCAAGCGGAAAAATAAACTGTTGCTCATATATGCAGCTTATGCACTAAAAATTGTTCTAAGATAATACAGCAAAAAAGAAAAAGAAAGAAAGAGGAAGGCTATGCAATGTGCTAATGGGATTTTAATATCTGGAGCTGGAATTCTGCACATGGCTTTGTCAAACACAATGGAGAACAGGATGCCAAGCAATTTTCAAGTTGAAACTGCTGGGAGGTGGGCACCAAGTTGAAATCTTAATAAAATAAAATGGAAATTGGGAGGAGGGGAGAGAGGAGCTAATTTATAGAGTACCTAACAGAGTACCCTTGTGATACAAGGATAGCTGCCAAGAAAACCCATGTCAGAAGTGTAGATTTTGACTCAATAACTTTGGCCAAAAAAAAAGGGCAACTGTGTTGTGTCCGGATTTTCACTTTTTGAAAAATGACAACCCTAAATTATGATTAATGGTGTACCCTCCCCTTATTCTGAATCCCATTTGTATACTTGAATTAACCTATTTTAATTCTCGCCCCCCCCCCCCCCATGATCCAAGATACAGGCATACAGAGTGGGAATTACCTATTGAACTGGGGTTCCTGTGGGCTTCTATGTTTTCTTTCTCAAAGGGGAAGTTATTTGCGAACAGAACATCACAAAACCCTTGGATCATGGCTATTCATTCTCTTAAGCAATGTACCAACACACGATTTACCGTAAATAGTGAATGCAACAAAATAATTTACCTTGTCACAATGGCGTAGGTAATATATCACAACATAGTCCACAAGGCTGATATTAGTATCCTAAAAGAGGGAAAAGATTCCAAACAATAGAGAGGTAATGAGAACACTTTTAGAAGTACTGCCATTTAAAACAAACATACACAGAAAAAGACCTGTCTCCAATTGTATATTATGTTTAGTTGCAACCAAGATGGAGTGCCAGGAGTCTCTCTGTTCTCCAGCAAGGGAGCAGAGCCTGGTTTGTGTGTGCTCAGGCAATATGAGCTCAGTCAGCAACCATCCCTGGTCAGATCGAGTTATCTCTTGCCTCAGACCTGTCCAGGGTTCTGAAGGATGTGCCTCTGACCTCACTTGCTTTCTGACCTGTGGCTTTTGAGTGCATACAAGTGCCTTGCCTGTCAATCCTAGCTATCCTGTTTCCACCAGACTCCACCATGGTCTTATCCTTGCCAGGACTGGAAAATTCCTAATGGTGGACCCCATATCATATAATGTATTGACTTATACTAACATTTATACTGCACCTTTCTAAAGGTCAAAGATGTATACTATTTTTTTTAAAGTTCCTTACAACAATTTAAAATAGTATGCAAAATTGTAGCAATGTGCTAAACTGTCCATCATTTGGGCTGGTCATATAATACAGGTACTTCCCATGCTGGCAGTGCATCTCAACTGGACCAATGGCACCATCATGGGCAGTATTTCATGCAATCTGGACAATCACCTACTCAATATCTCTAATGAGACAAGGGACCTTTTTGTAGTAACCAAGGCAAATGGCTTTTTGAAGTAACTAAGGTTCAGTTGTTGCTGTCTCCAGGACAATAAGCAATGACTTAAGCCTAATTGCTCATTCCAGTATTGAACTTCTTAGTCTCCTTAAAACAGTGGTGGAGAAACTGTGACCCTTCAGATGTGGTTGGACACCTGTAACTTTTATCATCCAGAGCTATTTGCCATGTTGACTGGGCCTGATGAGACTTGGAATCCAGCAACATCTGGAGGACTACATGTTCTCCATCCCTGCCTTACCTAGAAAAAAGAGGAACAACTGGTTTCTTTGCATCAGCAATAGTGTGACCGCAATCACTGGTGCTTCTAGTTGCTCCCAATCCCTAATGTATCAGCTCCATGAGGGTCACTGCAGTTCGCTTAGCAGAGAAGAGCAGATGAGGAAGGATGGTGACAATACTATGTCTCCCTAATCACATGGCATGTTACGTTACTATGAGATTTACGGGACCAGCCTTCCTTAACCTAGTGCCTTCCGTACGTTTTAGCCTGCAGTTCCCATCATCCCTGTTGGTCCCTCTTCACTGGGATGGGAACTGTAGTCTAAAACATTTGGAGAGCACCAGATTGGGGAAGGCGGCAATGAACCTACAGAGGCCAATACAAAAATGTACTGTTCTAAACTAGCAGTTAAGGGACTGGCATGCAGGTTTTTCTGGAAGGGTCATAAGACAGGTTTTAAAGATAAGCTGAAAATGCAGATAGGCAGGAGACTTGGGGCTCAGCCCCCGGTCCACCTCCTAACACCACCCCTGGGATTGGTAGCATAAGCCTATGACAGGTTAACCTACACATGCACCAGTGCTATTATGTTTTTTAAGAAAAAGAGGTTCCGGAGCTCACCACAATCACCGCCCTTGATCTTTTATAATGGCAATGACACTCACCTGAGAGGTGCCGGAACTGAGTTCCAGCTGGAAAAAAAAGCTCTGATGCTCACCTTCTGACCTATTTACCTCTGCACTACTGCCAGGTGTAACTTGGCCTTTTAAAGGGACTAAAAACCCCTATATAGCCTACAGGCCTTACATTATCTGCCCATTATCTAGATGTCTGAAATAGTGAGCAATCTTATGCAATGCAAAAGAAAAGGGCATCAAACAGATTATTACAAATAGATTTGTGGAGTGTCCTGTGAATATCACACAGTCATTTAAGTGAACAAATGCAAATTCAGTCAAAAGAAAGCATTTTACGTAAAATAAAATGTTTTTCTTATCTTGCACTATTTGTTTGACATTGTTCCTTTATTACGCAGGGTACTGAATCAATTCAGTGAAGATTAACTAGGGAGACGGATAAACTGTGCTTTAGGTATGAAATCACTAGTTACAGGAAATTATTAAATAGCACAAAGAGAAAGACATTGAACTGTATTATATATGGAATGCCTTTGAAGTGTGCATTTGCTTTTGAATAGCATACCAAAAGCTACTGAGATAGGATTTCGCTGTGCAAAATACATCAATAGAATGTATTAAATTCAGGGTCCATGTATTCATTTTAATTTTAATACCATTGTGCAGCATCAAAATTCTTAACTGCTTGTTCTAAATATTTTTTTTAAAGAACCATGCAACACAACCTAACTGGTAACTCGACCGGCAGCGCAGAATGGACCTAAGACTCCCAACAGCATCTGACTATGCATGTCTGTTCAGTAGCAAGTCCCACTAAGTTCCACAAATGTTTAGGATTAATGCTGCAATCCTATACTCACTTATTTGGTACTAAGACCCATTGAGCCAGTAGATGCTTATAGAATTGCACTCCTGTTTTATTATTCAGTACTTCTTTTGCAATGAGACATCACGAGGGGAACAATCCTATGCATGTGTAATCAGTCCTACTGTGTTAAGTGGGGTTTATTTCTTTGGTAATTGTGTCTAGGATTGCAGTTTAACATAGATTGGATGGGTACAAGCCCCAAAATTTAGGTGGACTTATTTTAAAAATTCATAGATATCTGTCATGAACTTTTACATTCTATTTGTTGCTGTGATTAGCATTTACAGTAGCCATGTTACTTGCCAGTTAAAGAGAGAAACAGTCCAAGTCTGGGTCTGAAGAACTGTGAGCAAAGGAAAATAGTGGCTAGAGTACTGCTCCAGACATGCTTGCACAAGAAATCTTGCAATCTGTAGGCATTCTAGCAGTTCTGCTTGTGCATGAAGCTGAGCAAGACCAAGAGATACTTTATGTGTGCAGAAATGCACCTTTGGATACAAGCACTGGTTAGCAGAGCATCCTTTGTGTAAGAAATTGATAGCTACATTGCACAAAATGAGGCTAGGAATGCCTTTTAACAGCTTCGTCTGATTCGCCAGCTATACCCATTCCAGGTCAGCGATAGCTTGACTATGGTAGTCCATTCATGGGTAAGCTTGAGGCTGGATTATTGTAACATGGCTTTTTGTGGAGATGCTCTTGGTTTAGAAGCTCCAGCTGGTGCAGAATTCAGCAGTCAAACTGCTGATGGGGACACCTGGGTGATAAAATGTAATGCCACTGCTAAAACATCTGAACAGGTTGCCCATCTGCCACCAAGCCAGGTCCAAAGTCCAATGCCCAGAAGAACTTAGGTCCATGGCACCTTAGGGGATGCCTGAACCATTCTTCTCTAGCTCAATCTCTGAGATTGCCTGCAGGAGCAATGTTGGGTTGTTCTCTGAGTTGGTAAGGTTCATTTGACAACAAGAAACTGAGCCCAGTGGCGAGTTTCATGCTCCGGCACTGGGGGGCGGAGAGCCGGTGGGGGTCTGGGCTGGTGTGCATCCTGGTGGCGGGGCACGTGTCCTGGTGGCGGGGCACGCCACCTGTAGGGGCATGGTGCCCAGCGCAGGCAGGGGGGCAGCCACGATGGCACCCTACTGGGATTGCGCTGCCAGGGGCGGCCCACTCCTCTTCCTCCACCAGTGACCGAGCCTTCAGCCCTGCGGAACACTCCGCAACGCTTTCTGTTTCAAACACCTGCTGAAAGTGTTTCTATTCCACCAAGCTAAGGAAGGCAATTAAAGAACACACCTTTCTATAATAGTGAGCTGAGATCTGGTTATAAATTTTTATATGAATTTTATTGTATGGTTTTATGTATGACTGCTGTAAACCACCCCGATGCTTTTTATAAGCAGCAGTATAAAAATATTTTTTTCTACATAAATAAAAGTTGGGAATGGGAAACGGCAAATGAGTCGTGCTTCTGAATCAATTCTTTAAAGTTCTGAAGCGATGCCCTGTGAATTCTCACTCATGAATGTTGTAATCCATGTCCGAAACTGTGAGATCTATTTTCTTACACTGGAGACAAGAATATGTGCATACGTTATTGTGGAGCTGGGTTTTGTTTTTTTTAATGGCAAAGTCCCCAGTGAGTTCAAGAACTCACTTGTCATTTGCTACTGGGGATGGCTGCTTGTGGTGGTGAAGCTGTAGCAATAAGAAACACCCATTAATTTGTATGGAGAAAGGCTATATCCCAGTGCCTGTGTCTCGGGCATAAAGAAAAGCAAAGAATTGTAGGAAGAAAGAGAGAAACATTGGCACTTGGCAGACCTTTGCTTAAAATGCCAATTTTAAATAAAATTCTATTTAAAAAAAACCCAAAAAACTACTTACTCTACTTTTAACATCCTTTAGTTTGGGAAGTATTTCCAAACCAAACCCATCTGCTTGACCACGCGTCCTGTTCCCTCCATTCATGTAATTTCCAAAAGCCAGGATCAATCCTAAAATGTCTTTCACACTTTTTATATCCAGCAAATCCTGAAAGAAGAATGCCAGTGTTTAATATCGGAAAGCAGAGGACGAGTACATACATACCATTCAAATGTTAGCCTCTTTTTACACTTATGAATGCTTTGGTGTAGAATGAAATAGAATTGCACTGAAATCTTTCAAAAGCAGCTTTTCAATTTCTGATTAAAGTTTGAATCCAGAAACCTAAAGGTAAACATTATTTCTTAATGCTTTCACAGCTGGATCTGTGCAATGAAGCCACTGCGTTTATGCTGCCATTGTTCTAAAAATATTTTCATTGCTTTTGCATTGTTAGCCATCTTGGATTTCTTAAGGAAAGGTGGGACACAAATGTCTTAAATAAGAAATGAAAAGTAAATTAATACATTTTCCGGTGATGAAATGTGAGTTGTATTGCTGTATTTCCTTCGCCCTCCCCCACTTTATTTGAAGACATATTATTGTAAAGTTGCTTTAGAACCAGCCCAGATCCATTATTTCACCACAAATTTACAATCGGTTCTGACAACTACCTTAGAAACACGGTTAATAATATCAGCTTTACGATGGACTGCAGTTATTCCTTCATTGAAGACAGACTGAAAGATTATACATCGAGCACGTTCTGCGAAATTGGAGATCTGGGATAACTCATATAGAAACCTGCAAAAATAGGTGGAAAAAATAACACAAAAGTTCCCTATTTACCTAATTTTACATTCATCCAATACAATTTATCAGCGAATAATGTCAAATTCCTTTCATAAAATTAGTTTTTTGTGTGATTTAAATGATACAAGATATGGTGCATGCTGCTATTTACCATGAAAGGAGAATGGACAGACTTAAAACTTCAACATTGGAGTTAATGTACATGAGAAACAGCATGAACAAGAACGAGACATAGGGAGAGATACTGCACTCTGCTGGTCGGGAACAGTTCTATATAAACTGTGTGTGTCCCCCTCGCTCTACTGCGGTTGTTTGACAAAGAGAGCAGATTGCTTCCAGATCTGAATACGAACCCAGGAGTTCAGCCATTTCTAGGGTTCACTCCAAACACAATTTGTAGAGAGAAAGTCACATTGAGTGCCATGGGACTCAACTTTATGCTGTTGGTCCCAACACAGAAATCAAGAGTAATATTGTTCTGCCAGCCCTAATGCAGTGATCTTGTAAAGATTAACGAAACAAGGACCACAATGCATTTTGCACTCTTGTGTTCACAACAGGACTTCCCCTACTTCTCTTCCACCCCCTACGTGTGTCACAGTGGATAAGGGTTTAGCGTGTCATCTGAACCCAATCTCATGGTGACAACCAGTGGTTAAGGAGGAGAGAGGTGAACCATGAACCTAGGTTCAAACACCACCACACTGGGCTGAGATGAAAGGACTGGGGAGAAGCAAACCAGCTGCAATCTCCTCTCCATGAGCTGCATATTTGTGCTTAGCCATACTTTGGCTCAGTGTAATGTGCGAATGGAGCCACTGTACGAAACAAAGACTGTTCTGAGCCTTTGGCCTACTGGAGTGGAGCATTTGTTTTTAAATCCATATCTGCTATGTTTAATGAATACCAGTAGGAAGCTTAGAACATTAGTTCACTGTTATTTGCTAGGAAAAGAAGCAGGAGGTTGGAAAGGACAGGAAAGTAGGCGTAAGTTAATTTTAAAAGTTCAGCAATAGAATAAAGTGCCAAATTTTATGGAATATCGGCCTTTTGAGATTTCCAACAGAAGTATAAGCGGACATCCGTCAAAATGGGCTTTCTAGTTTCGGATGGGTATTTCACAATATGGCACATGGGAGCTTCTTTGAACAATTCTATTCTATTCTATGCAGTGCTGTTCCAACTGTTCTGCTTTCCAAAGACTTCTTTGAATGATAGGAACCTATGGTAGGACCCCTGGACCATCTTACTGTTCTGGTTTATCAAGAAGCTTCACTTCTTCTTCTTTTGAAGTGTCATAATGCTGCTTTATTTTCTCCAGTTCATCCTTCTGCGCTCTCTGCAATTCCAATGGAAAAAAAAAACCACTAATGAGTTTTCTTAGCCTCAAGAGAAAAAAACAACCCAATGTGTTTCAATGCCCACATCTTTGGAATCACTAAATACTTCTTGGAGTGGCAAGGAGAAAGGGGCAGAATTCAGGAGTAGGTGCTGCTGTCCCACCTACAAACAGAGACTGACAGAACCATACACGCAACATGAACAGGATAGGTTTTCCTAATAAGGTATTTTCAATGTAGAAGCAATTTTGTTTCACTTGACACAATTCAGCATACCATGGACAACAATTAGGTTTGAATTGCTAGTATAATTCTTAGCTAATTCTTGTTCACTCTTCATCCTGGGTGCTCCCACCACTGGTTTGGGAAGCAGTGTACACATGACATTAGCTGTAGTTCACATCTATCCTGTTGTGTCTTATGAAATTCTGTGTTCTGTTGCATTTTCCCGCAAATAAGCCACAGACTGAATTGGAAAAAAGAACAACCTGGCTGCACTTTAGGCTCGTAATATATACACAGCCTGACACACATTATTATTAAATACACGATGAGGCCCAATCTGTGTCATGGATGTCACAGTGTTCTCAGAAGCTGCATAAACTTTTGCACATGTATGCTTGACTGAATCACACACTGCTATGTGAACTACATTTCCCAAGATACAGTGGAACTGTCAAATTACATGTGGGTGCATCTGGAGTCTCTGAGCAGGATGTAATATGAGCAACAGTGATTTGGCCTCAATGGCACCACTGCTATTCCAGAATAGTTATCTGATCCTGGTTGCACCACAGAAGATTCTAACCTGTGCCAGTTATAGCGGGGCCAATTATAGTGGGGTTCAAATTATATACTCAAACACTGAAAGAACATAAGGCCAGGAGAGGGGGTTGAGCAGAATTTCATAGACTAGCCCTGCTCCTTTTTACCAGTGCCTACAGAAGCCAACCAGCCACCGGTGTATTTTGGCTGGCATGTGAAGGAGTTGTACTGATGTCTGCATGCGGTGCTCCTGTATGTACTCTGTGTTCTTCCCAAGCAATGTTAGCCATCATACGAACCCTCAACTCTTGCTCTGCATGTGAATATTGTACAAGTATGGCATTACCGGAGGAAAGAATGGAAACCGAAAATGAAGGACTATAGAATATTGAAATGTCTGAACAAAACAAGAACTGTATCTCGAGGTAGATTCAACCAGACATCTATTACTAAAGACAATGGGGGGGAAACCTGCATTTCTGTTGCAGAAAGACAGCATTTGGATAAAGAGAACATGGGACATGAAGGTGGGATATGTGCCCACAGCTCACTTTCTATTTGTGAACTAGCAGTGTGGAACTGACCCTTTTATACTTACGTTCTCATACAGTGCTTCCAGCGTTTCCAAGTCGACGATGGAATGATCCACATTTAGTATAGCTGTAGAAAATATAAAATCATAAATTAGATAATATGTCACAACTGGGTTTGTTGGCTAATCTGTTGCCACAAACAGCAAAGAAAAAAAACTGGGGAATGTGTAAGCTTTCATGTGAACGTTTCTCCCATGCAGGCTTACACATAGCTATGAGTTAAGACACTGAAAGAAGGTGGCTGCTGTCCTCTATACGCAGACATTTTTCATTGACCTTTTTCTATGGGGTTTGGTTTACTAGTTGACTCTTTTAGACTACTGATGGTGTAAAAAGACAAAATGTGCTCTTGTATGAAAGAGTTTCTGTTAGCACATTGGCTTTTACTGTAATGTGGGGGATATTTCAATTCCATGTAATCAGAAGTGAAACTAATGTGGACGCAACCAATTCATCATGCCAGCATCTATGGCTATTTTTACTGATCACATTTTCTACAATAAGAGGAAATTCGAATTAAATGTAAAAGAAAGAAGAGGGTTGACATTTTGATGGCAATGGCATCATGAGGATGACATGAAAAACTTGTATGCATGAATTGCACCAATTCCACAAAAAATCTCTGTGCAGAAGCGCCTTTTGTATGTAATATCACAGAAACCCATGAAAGGCTTTCATTTATTCCAAAAACAAATTATTATTTATAAAACCCACTAATGTAAGTATCCCAGGCATAACATTTCAGTTTGCATCTTAAAGAGAAATTGTTTGCTTAAATTAAAACAGTAGGAATATTAATAACTTTGACTACCAGCTATGATTCTGCATCTGCTGAAGGTTAATAGCTGGTATCTTGATTTCTGCTGCACATATTGCCTTACCTATAAAAGGAGAAGTGACCACTCACAGCTGAACAGTTTAAAAGCTCTTGCTGAGTTTTGTTTTTTTCTGTGATGTTTGAGAGAGGCAAGACAAGCATCTTTAAATAATTATTTAAAAGTAATAAGGTTGCTCCCCCTTCTACCTCTAACCCCATGATTTTACATTGTGAAATTAACCAGCAGGCTAGTAAATTTTCTCCGTGGCAGGCTAATTAATTCTATTAAAAGGTCCAATGACATTTAGAATGCTTTAAAATTCTGCTTGTCAGTTATGATTCTGTGCCTAACTTGGAAACAAAGGTGGTTAGGGAAAAGGTAAATATTATGAATGGCAAATATAAGATCTTAACAACCATGGGAAATGATTGTTACTGAACTTTATTTAAAATATACAATGCATTCAGATCCAGAGTTGCATACATGGTACATATATCTACTCCGTGGAAAAGACCCTGATGTTGGGAAAGATGGAGGGCACAAGGAGAAGGGGACGACAGAGGACGAGATGGTTGGACAGTGTTCTTGAAGCTACCAGCATGAGTTTGACCAAACTGCGGGAGGCAGTGGAAGACAGGAGTGCCTGGCGTGCTCTGGTCCATGGGGTCACGAAGAGTCGGACACGACTAAACGACTCAACAACAACAACATATATCTAGTGCCTTTGTGAACAGGGTTTCCCATTTACTTCAATGAAGGGAACAGCTCTGCTCACGCATCCTTTAAAATGGAAGAAGCCACCTTTCTATTAAGGTGAATCACAGAATTGTAGAATTGGGAGGTGCCCTGAGAGTCATCGCGTCCAATTCCCTGCAATGCAGGAATCTCAGCTAAAGCATCCATGACAGATAGCCAGACAACCTCTGCTTAGAAACCTTCAATGAAAGAGAGAGTCCACCACCTTTTGAGGAAATCCATTCCATTGCTGAATGGCTGTTACTGTCAGAAAAATTTGGACTGAGCTTCTAGGAATGCATACATTGGTCAGACCAAAACTGACCTAGGTGTGAATGTTAACGTTAATGTCAAAGTTTATGTTTAGTTTAATCAGAGTGTGGATGTTTGCAGTGCAGACTTTTGCCCCCTCCCCGGCAAAATTTGTAGATCCAGCACGGCTTACTCCTGCCTTTGTCACTCAAACGACACACATACAGCCTACATATCAAATGCTGCTTGATTCTTCCTCTCTCCCCCCGGCCCCCATATTTTGGGTGAGTTGCAAGCCACCTCCACCTGACCTTTGGCAAGTCTCACCTCCCACTGCAGAGTTGCGATAAGAGAAAGTATCTTGCAACCATCCTGTAATGGAATGGGCTGTTCCATTTCAGGCCAGAGGTGGGGCTACTTCAATGACCCCATCGGTCCTCCTCCCAGGCCTCACCAAACATTCCATTGCATATGAAAGTCTCATGCTCCATTGACCTGCACGCAGATCACTTACACTTTTAAGCACTAGATTCCCCAAAAAATATCCTAAAAAGAGGATTAGATAATTATCTTTATCCTAAAAATATTTTTGTGCACATGAAATAAGACCCAGTTTAGAACAGAGACTCTTGTCTTTTATGATAACTTTTATCTTTCCACCCCCACAGTTACCTGAGCCCAGGCTGCAACATTTGGCTGCAGGGCCCCTGCCTGAATTCACTAAGGTGAGATTATTGCAGCAAAGCCTAACACATTTAGAAACTGGATTCCAAAGCAGCTGCTAAAACCTCATTTTTACGTTTAATCTTGGTGAGCCGTGTGGGAAAATGATTGCTTGTACATGAGAGCATGAGCAAAGTTCTTATTGTTACAGGGTGATTTCATAGCTAGAAGCATCCTTGGAGCATGAACAGCGCGTGAACAGCTCGTGCTGTCCTATATGATTGGCTAACGTGGCATGGCCTGATGCTCACATAGTCTAGTGCGAAGGTTCTTATCTGCTTGCTAGAACAAATTGCTTGGCTTGTATTTTTGTATCTTTCTATTTCACACAATAAAAGCTGTGCTGCATTAGCCCTAGGAGCAGCCATATTTCGGAACCCATCTTGGTGTGAGACTGATTTTCCTCTGGATGCCGAGCTGCAACTCGACAGAGCCGTCCTTCTTACACTGTCAGTTTGGTTAGGATATCTCAGCTACACCTCACAATATGTCGAAAGGAAATAGATGCATGCTGTGAGGAGCTGGTAATTTTATTGGGTTCCTCTACCTTTAAAAATCTGTTACTAGGACAAGTCTGGTTTCTGGACTCCTTTTTTGTAGGGAAATTGAGGCAAACGTTTTTATGTGGCCCTATGGTGTCTGCTCACAACAAGAAGAATTTATATACATAAGGATAATTAGCACAGTATTGCGCCCATTAGGATAAAATAACCGTCAGCAAGGACAAAAAGCAGATCAGCACCATGCATTCAGCCTAAGTGCCGCACATAAAAATACTTGCTAACTGCATTACACAAGACGGCAGCAGGACAATAAACTTACTATAAAAACAACTTTGCATATATACCGGTATACACACACACACAAACACACTCTTTATGTCTAAAATTTCACTATTTTTTCATACCTGCATTTCCCGCCCCCTTCCCCCCCAAAACAGTGTGAACAATGTATTGATAGAACAAGATTTAAGGAAGCCTAATAATTAATTTGAGAGTATATAAAGCTGCGGGCATTTGTAGTTCTTAAAGATTTAAGTCTAAATAGTCCTCTAAATTAAGAAAGCTTTAACTAGCAGAAATTCTGCTCACATGAGAGACTGGCAGCTTCCAAAAAGCAAATATTCTAAGTAATTACTCCCACAAAATAATAATTTTACTACATTCATTTCCTTCCTTTCCTCCAAGAAGCTCAAAATAGTGTACAGTGAGTGGTACCTCAGTTTTCGAATGTAATCCGTTTTGGAAGACGGTTTGAGTTCTGAAATGTTCGAAAACTGAAAACTAAACAGCCGACAGCTAGGCCTCAGGATCTTGCACTCAGCGGAAGCTGCGTGGCATGTTCGACTTCCGAGGCGTGTTTGAAAACCGAAGCACTTACTTCTGGGTTTACGGCGTTCATAAACTGAAATGTTCGTCAACGGAGACGTTCGAAAACCGAGGTACCACTGTATATGGTTCCCCCTCTCCACATTTTATCCCCACAATAACCCTGTGAGGTAGGTTAGGCTGAGAGTTGGTGACTGGACCAAGATCACCCAGGGAGCTTCTCTCTAGTCTCTTAGGTGAGGTCCAGGTCCGACACTCCAAACACTATGCCATTTTGGCTATCAAATTACCTATTTTATATACCAGAATTACAGTACTATCTGGTACTGAAGACAAACACAGATTTTTTTTTTAATTGTTGGCATGGGATAAATCCTACACTGATAAAAATTTTTAACAGATCCAGCCTCTTTATTTCAGATGCATAAGCTCCTCAAAAACCTCCTTCTACTATTTGACTGTCATGCAAAAATGCTGTAAGATTAATGAGGCAGAAAAGCAGTCTGGGTATAAAAGTGGGCTTAGAAGGTTAGGAAAGCTCAAATGCTGCATGAAGTCATGAGCAAAAGACTCGGGCAACTCATGTTAACCTAACCACATCAGGCTTGGTGCCCGTAGGCAGATTCACAAAAACCATATGCTGCAAATTATCCAGAACAAAGGAAATAATGTTTAAAGGAAATTGTTTCCCAACTTCTGAGTTGTATATTAGAGCTTGCTCCGTATTATATGGACAACACACACACACACACACACAGAGAGAGAGAGAGAGAGAGAGAGAGAGAGAGAGAAGTTATATACTATAAAAGTGACATAGTTTTTAACTTCTGCATACAGTAATCTGTTACCAAAACCAGCAGCTCCTTATCAATCATATTCATGCAATACAGCTGTTGAATGATTTTCTCATGTGTCTTCCATAACCAGCAAAATCACAAATTATCCAGGGCTTTTTCATATGCCAGAGAAAATATTCTCAGTACAAAATTCACTCAATAGTTTCACTAAACAGGGTAGAACTGAGATGCATATATGTCTTCACGGCTGCCAGTTTTCCTGACCTTGTAACGGGATAGATATTTGACATGAGGCCAAGAATAAACTTTGCATGAACTTATTACAAGAAAAGTTGAAAAGTACTTTACCATTCCCCCCCACAAATTGCTAAGGAGATGACCTCTCTAGAACTTTCAATGCATATATAATTTGGTGGTACTGTGAAATTATTGTTATTATGTTAAACTCTTACATTGGCTAGGCAGCAAAGGGCATGATTTTGCATTTATGAAACCCCAGAATCAATTCTCCAAGTTTAGTCTCCCAATAAAAGACTTTGGGACGCAGAGTCATGAAAATCCTTTGCTTGAGATCACTGAATGTTTCTGACAGAACTCACAATACTGGGCTAAATGGGTCACTGACGACACTTAGTGAAAAGCACCTTCTTATATGAAAAATATTGCTTTGCCAACTAATGTGAAGGCAGGCTTCAAAATGTGGCTTTCTGTTTCGCCTTCTTAAAAAGCTTATTGAATTACTTGAACCATGGCACATCAAAGGGTGGTTGCAAGATGATGGGCTGTGGAAAGAGGGTTGTAGCTAAGGCTTTGAGGAAAGGTATTGTTTGCAGGACGTTATGTATGCCTTTAACGTAGAAGAAACTGCTTGAAGAACCTTCCACTCAATTTGGGGGTGTGGGAGTCTCTCAAACATCCATTCTCACTAGGAACAAAAATCAGCAAAGCTCTTGGGTAATCTGTAGCAAACAGAGCCTTATTTAAACAGCAAAGAGTGCTATGGAAAAGTTGTGCCTGGGCCAAATTGCAGGGAAATGATTCGCTGTGCACCCTCACCAACGCCATCAGTATAAAATGTAACAGAGGCTTTGGTTGAGATCACACCATACATTTAAAGCACATTTCCCCATACAAAGAATCACTAGAACCGTAGTTTACCCTGCACAGAGCTACAATTCCCAGCATATACTTTAAGTGTATGGTGTGTGTATGCTGCCTCGGTCAGCAATTTGCTGTTTTGTGCTGTAGCTGCACAGCAGCTGTGCTGGAAGGAAGAAGCCTGACGAAGCTTCTGCTGACATTCATACACTATGAAGGAGGCGAAAGTTCCAATAGCCTGGGTCTCAAATGAACTTCTGTGGGAGTGAATCATGGGGTACCTAATAAAGAAAGGATCCTGACAAACCCCTGATGTTCCATGCTGTCCTTGGAATGAGCACTTATTAAAAAAATTTGCAAATACTTCTAAGCAGCATTTTGGGATTTCCTATTGGTATCAATTATTTTCCAAGAAGGAGACCTACAAGGTCATTCTGTATGTCCACAAAGATATATAAGTAGTGAAAAGCACTTTGATTCCAGTCAATAATGGTGTTGAGGAGACAGAGGTCTGGGAATGCCCAGCCTAGAAAGAAGCAATGACATGCTAATATATATTTGCTTTTTATGAGACACATCCCCTATTTTAATCTGGCACAGAAAGGTTTTGATTTTCTTCCAACGGGGAGCTCAAACTACACCACAAGGCAACAAAACCATTCTCTGTGCTTAATATTGTTGCCTTTTGTCCAGCAGCGATAGCGCCGTTCTACCTTTTTCAGGAATAGAAAATGTCAACCTCTCCTAAGAAACATCTGTGGATGATTCCTCCCACAAATGTGGCGGTCCTCAATTTGTTGGCTAGTAATCAAATGCAAACCAAACCATATGTGTGCCAGATGTACAGAGCTACACATACTGCCATTGCTAGACAACATGAAAACTGCCAAGTATGTCAGTTACTGGGCTTAGACACAACCGAAGGTGGAAATCTCTCAAGGCAAAAATCCTACACCACCCTGAGATAGCATTACATTGTCTTCCTATTGCTTCTCTTTTATCTTCTCCCTAGTTTTGCATGGACATCTGCGGATGCGATAGGTTTTCGGAGCAGAAAGAGTGTCACGTTGATGCAAGCTCAGAGGTTATTTAAAAATAATTTCTTCAGGCACTATGGCTTGGATCCAGACATGTCTTTGCAGAAGTTCCCCATTCTGTTGCAGCCCCCCTCCCTGCTCCAGTCCCATTACACTCTGTACTAAATGTTCCCTCAGTCTTCAGGGGCAGCAGCTGAGTCGTGAACCAGGAGAACCCCGGTTGCATGAGTAGAATTCCAACCATCTATCTCTGGACCCAACCTTTCATTCAAATTTTATTTTTCTGTCATCAGTTGATGATATTGGAATCACATACAGTAACAGCTTATCTCTGCATTTGGGGAGGGGTTGTGGGTCAGTGGTCCTATGAAACAATATGCTGGGACAGGTGCATGCACACCTGACCTTGCTGTCACTACCTTGACTCACTCTACATCTATCCTAACACGTGCCAGCAACAGGGGATACAATTGTCTCTGTCTCACCTCTCATGAGCTGACATTGGCTGCCAAGACTAGAGATGATGATTGTTACTATGCTCTGGTAAGCTGTAATCCCATCCATCCCAGTCCTAGCACACCAATTACTACTCAAATGACATCTTAAAATCAGAAAACTCAAAAATTTAATTTGTTGATTGGCCGATGAGCTTGCTGCTTTGCTGCTCCTTCATAGGAAGGAATACTGCAAGAGGGTTGAAACTAGATATCTGTACAAGACAGCCACTTTAGGTGTAACACAGCCAGTTCCTAGGACAGGAGTGCCTACTCTCTCTCAAGCAAGCGATTATACAAATGTGTGAAATAATTTACGTCTTTCTTATGAGAAAAGGCTAGGCATGTTTAGGAATTTAAGAAAAATGGCAACTAAGGCAGATATTTATAGTGTTATGCATGGTATAGCGGTCCTCGTGGGGCAGCAATAAAACTGCTATGGTTTCAGATTGGATGGGGAAACAGCATGTTGAGATTCTTTCATTGCAGGGGGGATGGACTAGATGATCCCTAGGATGTCTCCCAATGATACAATTTGATGATTCTATGTATAGGAAAAGTCAGAATAGACAGCATTATTCTCCTTTTCTCATAGCACTACAATTTGAGACCCCTTAATGGAATTGATTGGCAGCGGACTGAGAACATACAACCCCCCCCCAACTTCTTCACACATAATCAATTTGTGAAATTCATTGCTGTAGGATCAATGATCACCAGCTTAGATTTTAAAGTGGACTAGAGGAGTAAGTTGCAACAGCTGAATGCTAGGGCTGCTAAGTGGAACTTCCAGTTCAGAGCCGGTGTGCCTATGAATTCCAATTGCAGGGGTGGGAAGCAGGCAGAAGGAAAAGTTACTGCCTATTTCATGTTTCCTGGAAGAATCTGGCTGGTTCCTGTGCAAAACATGATGTTGAACAAGAGGGACGCACAGCTATAGAATGTGTGATGTAAAATATGCATCTGAAGGTTATTTTATTATTATTAACTTCTGAAAACATCTCCATGCACAAGGTTCCTTTCAAGATGCAAGCAACACTCACCTTGTTGTATGTCCTTCATCTCCAAATGTAAACTGGAAATCAAAATTCCTACAGTCTGAGATCTCTTTCCATCCAACAGTTTGATAATCTGGAAATAAAAATAGTTGGTCATACTTAAATGTCCAAATAAATGTGAAATGTAAAGCAAGCCAACACTTTTTTTAAAAGTGACTTAAATGTGACTTCCTTTCCCCTTCATCTTTCATGGTATTTTCTTTTTTAAAAAACTGTATGCCAGGAATAGATGATAATATGAAAAGTCACATTGCTGTGAGGGGGGAAAGCTTACACACAGTTCTGTGAATCCAACAGTAATGAGAGCTTTACAACCATTATTGAAATCCACCAAATAAGTGTAACCTAGAATTATTTCTAATTCATTTTTATGGCACTATGTATCTGTCTATAGAATGGGAAAATAAAATCTATGTATACATTCCAATAAAAAAAATCACCTTTATCTGTCACCAATTTTAAGGGAGTGTGCTTAACTCTTCTACTTAGATTTCTGACTTGGATTAGGGATGACCCAATACATTTTGTTGCTTCAGAATGAAAGACAAAATGGCACCTCCTCCTGTGTCACATACAGAAAGCAACTATGTTGGCAGTTGAATCTTACTTTGATGTTGGCAAAAGGACAGTGTCCTCTGCTACAGCTAAGGGTGGCTAGCTCTCTTAGGAGGCACAGGGCATGTTGTGTGGCACACACAATTCTGCTCTTCGACACTTAGCCAACATCTCTCACCTCCCAGCATCTGCTGCCTGAGACGAATGCCTCACTCTGCATAATGGTAGGGCTGGCCCTGACAGATTCAGATGTGCAGGGCCTATACTGTTAAGATTCCTGCTCCGTGATTGCAGTCATGGGATTGTTGTCTATCACATGATGGTGTATGTTTTCACTCCACAGTGTGGGAAGTGACGGAGACAGGATGCTTGTGTTCCGGTGTTCCGTGAAGTGGAACTATTGTCCTTTGTTCTTTCTCTTTGCTGTCTGATGCTAGAGAGAGAAGGAGGCATGTTGCAGTGCTCTGTGTGTGTTTATATGTAAATAAAGTAGATTAGCCAAAATGCTGAGTTGCTGAGGACTGTTATGCAAGCTGCAAAGACTCTGAGGATCCCTAAGTGTGCCGAGGTCTGTTGGCATCAGTCGCTGTGATGTTTGGGTAGAAGAAAGCTTTTGAAGCTCCCGAACAATCGACCAGGAGGGAGAGAACATGCCAGTTGGGTATGTGTCTCCGCCAGGGTCCTACTCGAGAGTAGGATGGGCTCCTGACATATACATGTCTATGTAGAAATAAATGTCGTTGAATACAATGAGACATACACTCAGGCAAGTGTGTATAGGATAGCAGTGTAAATTTAATTTCAGTTCCCTTAACTGCTCCTACAGATTTCAACAGGACTTAAAAGTTGAACCAACTTAGTCTGCACCCAATGCCAATGGGATTTAAAGCTAGTTAACTTTGGCTGTAACGTGCCCAGTTTCAATTCTTAGAATAAAAGGATGATGGATGCTCAGAGATTTTCTGAACTCATGTCTACAAAATAATGGGTGCAATTTTTTTGGTCTCCATTCACTAATATTTTAAATAACAAAACAATTTTTAATAACAAAAAATTAGAGGGACAGAAGAAAATTTACCATAGAGTAAATTTACAAGTTAAATGGAAGTTTGTCACAGACATTTCTGAAGTTATAAATGTTATCTGATGAACTTGGCAGCAGATTAAATTCTAATAGGGGTAATTAAAGGCTTAAGTAGAGTGCAATTTGTATAGCATTCACTGACCTCCAGGCTGACCCTTTTCAGAGGAAAATTCATAGGCTGTCATAAACCCCATTAGGCATGCCTAGTTTGAGGCAAAACCTTTCCAGACGACACCTCATACTGGCAATATTATATTTGAAACTACTACATTTGTAGGTACGCTCTAAAGATAGGATCAGGTTAGCTCGCACAACTTTCCTACTCCAGTATCTTATTTTAAACTGAAAATGCCTTTAATATTACATAATTTAAAACTATTAGAGAGAGGTTCACTTCAGAACAAAACAAGCTTTATATTTATAGCCTTTTATGGGAAGAAAGTACATATGGTCACAATTATAAATGCCAAACTAGACTCTGGCTACCTGAAATAGTCTGAGCAAAATGATCAAAAATCCTGTAGGGCTGAAATTTGTCACACTGGATAACAAAATTGTTAAGTCAAGAGAATAAAGGCCTACCTAGGGCACACTGGCTTTCTGTTAGCCTTGAGTAGTAGCTGAACTCTTACTGGGAAGTAAAGAGCAGTACAGAGACTGACTGGAAGGCAGATCAGCGCTGTTGTCCCAACATGCTATCTGCTATTGAATCAAGAGGCAATACTGCCTTTGATACTGGAGGTAGTGCAGAGTATCTTATCCTCCATAGCCTTATCCCTCTTTAAAGCCATCTAAGTTGCCAGCTATCCCAAATGCTGCATTCAGTAACGGGGTTTACTGTATTACATTGTTGTTGTTGTTGTTTAGTCGTTTAGTCGTGTCCGACTCTTCGTGACCCCATGGACCAGAGCACGCCAGGCACCTCTGTCCTCCACTACCTCCCGCAGTTTGCTCAAACTCATGCTGGTAACCTCGAAAACACTATCCAACCATCTCATCCTCTGTCGCCCCCTTCTCCTTGTGCCCTCCATCTTTCCCAGCATCAGTGTCTTCTCCAGGGAGTCTTCTCTTCTCATGAGGTGGCCAAAGTACTGGAGCCTCAGCTTCACGATCTGTCCTTCCAGTGAGCACTCAGGGCTGATTTCCTTGAGAATGGATGTGTTTGATCTTCTTGCAGTCCATGGGACTCTCAAGAGTCTTCTCCAGCACCATAATTCAAAAGCATCAATTCTTCGGCGATCAGCCTTCTTTATGGTCCAGCTCTCACTTCCATACATCACTACTGGGAAAACCATGGCTTTAACTATACGGACCTTTGTTGGCAAGGTGACGTCTCTACTTCTCAAGATGCTGTCTAGGCCTGTCATTGCCCTTCTCCCAAGAAGCAGAAGTCTTTTAATTTCGTGGCTGCTGTCACCATCTGCAGTGATCACTGTATTACATTAGTTCTACTGATTATAATGCTGGCGCTTCTTGTCCTAATTTTAATGTTCCTTTTACAGCGCAGTATTTTTGTGTGTGGTGGAACAGCTTTTTTAATAAGACACCCCACCACGTGTCAGGCTAAAATTTAGACAGCAGGAAATAACTTTACGCCGGGTTACCACCCCAAATTTTTGTTACTTGAAATTGCAATGCAAAACCTCTCCCGTGGTTTTCTGCGTTAACAGGATCGCAAAACAGATCACCACCCCCCCGGCAAACAACTGACATAGAAATTAGTATTAGGCCTCTCTACCTGATTTCCCAAAGTGGCTTTTACATTATGTGAGAGATCACATAAAATGTAGACATTATCAGGTAAGGAAACATTGGGAAAACAGTGCAGTCTACCACTCTAAGTGGTAGAGAATTCAATAATAATAATAATAATAATAATAATAATAATAATAATAATATGCTATTTATACTCTGCCCATCTGGCTGAGTTTCCCCAGCCACTCTGGGTGGCTCCCAGCAGAATTAAAAGCACAATATGTGCTGTACATCCTTTCATATGCCCCAAATCTTCCAACATTCCGTTTCACTGAATGATGTCACCTACTGCTATTATCTGAGACAGAAAAAAAATCTCTATCGTCTTTCTCTACACCATGCATCATTTTTTACATCTCTGTGATTTCCCTCCTTCTCTCCTCTGTAACCATCAAGCTGAATGCAGCCCACCAGGCATATGTGTTGCAAAAAGAGTGCATTTGTCAAGCACCTTGCAAGCCCTAATGCACTGCTGAGAAGCAGCTTTTATCTTGGTGGATTACAGATTCAGTGGGTATGCACTAAATTAAGTTTTGGAAAGAGCAGATTGTTCCATCTGGCCCCAGCTAGTGAAAGATGCTTCAAGCTCCCAGAAGTACGCACTTTGTGCACAGATGACAGTAGTATGTAAGCAACCAACTTCCTAGCTGTTGCCAGTTGATGATAACGATACGCCAGCTGGCAGGATACGCCTAAGCAGCAGACATGGCAGCAAACTGTCTGCCTCTTCTCTGGTTACTAAATATACCAAGGAAATAGATGCAGTATCTCCAGAGCCTGCAACAAGAATGTAAATGCTGCAATCCCATGCTTCATCTTTCCCTTGTACAAACATGGGGATTGTCACAGCCAGTGCAAGCCTTGGTCATGTTAGTACTAAAAGTAAAAATTCAAAAATAACATCCCTCCTTCTGAACCATGCTGCAGACCGATGTTCACAGGAGCAGGAATTAGGAAAATGGTGCTCCCTCCGAAATCCACCACTTGCAGCAAAAGCTTACACTCACTATGTAAGACCAGTCTATAGCAGAATCTCACCAGGTCAGCATGTCAGACACTCAAAAACTATGCAGAGAAAGAGTTCTTCTCTGAAAGTAAAGGACAATTCACACATATCTTGGTTTTTTAAAAAATGATTATCAAGCTTGCTAACCTGGGCTCAGAATATTCTTGCAGTGATCAAGTTCTGTGAGTGATCAGCTACGACCAGATATTGTGATTTTGGAACTCTAACATATAGTCAGTAGAGAGAAGAATAACCACTTATGGCACAACAACAGGGGTGCAATTACCAGGGGCACAAAAGGATACAGGCCCTTTGACAAGCTACTCACTTGTATGAGTTCACAGTGAGTATATTTTAAATCAGGATTGAAAGGATGGAATCACAAGCACACACATTGCATGAAATGGCCCATTACTAGTTTCAAATAAGTCAGTGAGCAATATATTTAGGAATGGGACCTTTACAAAATAAATAATACTTATAATACTATATTATTATTTGCTGGTAATCCTTATTGTGAATTCCACTAATAAACAGATTACATTAGTCTTAGTGGTCTTAATGTTGTGTAAATATATTTAGGATTGGCAGCATTCTTATAACATTCTGACCCAGGATGGTGTAACACTGAATTATGAAGCCATCTTTTCAAGAATTGCAGAATGTTGTAATTGTTATTATTATCATCTCACAATTACAAAATAGGCAAAAACATAAAAAACCCTGATGACAGATATATCCTCTTTTTAAAACCACTCTCATTCAAAAATATTGACACTCATCGTAAATGAGAACATGTGCTAATAATTACTTGAAATGAGTTAGAGATAATGGACAACAGAAAAGCCATTATCTTCAGTGGGTTTCTTTTTCTGACTTTGATATGATAATCATAGCACTAAAGAGCCAAAGGTGATTGATGGAGTCTTATTTAGATCATGCAGATGACACAAATTATGTGACATTTATCCCTTGACTTTGTAGGAAGAAAATATAACGGCATCAAATTGAATGTTAGCATCCACAAGAATCATTAATATCCAGTAGATATAGAAAAAAGTAAATAATACTGTGAATATTCAAATGTAAAAATCCTACTCTCTATACATTTTTCATTCCATACATGGGACAGCCATCAAGTTTGCTACAAATACAATGGCTTTAACACCTATGCCTTGCCACAAAGTGTGAATGACAGGCATGTTTACTAAAGCATGCACCTGGGAGCCCTGATTGGCTACAGCTCCACAATGTGTTATATAAGTGTTTGTGGTTGCATGCCTATTATTCACATTTTATGTGTGTATGTGGTGGGAAATATCAGTACAATATCAGTGCACCTTGGCAACACGATAGTTGCGTAAAGAATGGGTAAAAAAGATGGGGGAGGTAAAGGATCCCTGGACCGTTAAGACCAGTCAAAGGCAACTATGGGGTGCAGCGCTCATCTTGCTTTCAGGCTGAGGGAGCAGGCGTTTGTCCACAGACAGCTGTCCAGGTCATGTGGCTAGCATGACTAAACCGCTTCTGGTGCAACAGAACACCGTGATGAGTGCCAGAGCGCACAGAAACGCCGTTTACCTTCCCGCCGCAGCGGTACCTATTTATCTACTCGCACTGGCGTGCTTTCGAACTGCTAGGTTGGCAGGAGCTGGGGCAGAGCAATGGGAGCTCACCACCATCAAGTAGATTCGAACCGGTGACCTTCCAATCGGCAAACCTGAGAAGCTCAGTGGTTTAGACCACAGTGCTACCCACACCCCAGATTCTAGGACCATTCTATGATGCCTGATCACTAACAGAACTTCAAAGTGTACAGACATATTTATTTACTGCTTTCAATAAGAGAATTTCCCCAAAGTGGCTGAATATTTGCATATATACTCTGATGTGAACTAGGTTCTTTGGGTGTGGGTAGAATCAACCCAACAGATCTCCATGAATTCACACACTCAAACTGGCTATCAATGAGAAATGAGTCTATTAGCATGTAGAAGAAAAGGTGTCTGCTCTGCCCTGTTACCATGCTCTTTCTGTATTGCCCCAGCCAGCAGCAGCCTTTGTGGAGCCGCAAGGTCACCCTCCTGACACCATTGTTGCTGTAGCTTACCTGGACAGGGATTGGGGTAGGGAAAGATGGTGGATGGGTCAGGGCTACACAAGGACACTGATGGAGCAGGCCAGTGTGCCCACACAATCTCATCCTCACTGCTGCCCTCGCGTGTACCAGCCCCATCAAATTAAGCTGCAGTGACGTCATTGTGGGGAGGATGGCTCCCCACCAGCACACAGATTGCTCCTGGCCCCAGCTGAACATGAATTGGGGTCTAGGCTTGTGTGTGGTGCTAATGTTTATGCTCTGTTTTAATGGAGTTCTCAAGCCATTAATAAGAATGTGACAAAATTCCAGTATGAATTTTAGACATAGCCATAGTTAAGTACTTAATCCTATTGTCAAAGCTTCAAAGCAAGTCTGAAGACAATTCAATCCCAGGTGTGAGCAATCATTGAAAAGAAAAATCTCATCCTAAACAATGACAGATTATTTGGGGCCACCACATATAAGACCTGTCATTTGAAGATCCTTTTGTATTTCATTGTTCTTGTTGTATTATTGCAAACTAAAATGCATATAAGAAAGATACTCAATAAAAACCTAGATTATTATTATTTAAAAAGATTAAGTTAAGGTCGCAATGCAGTGATACCTTTTTGGCTTTTGTTTTCTTTTCATAAGACTCTGCTAATGGCTTTTTCTTTTCCTGAGCTGTTTCTTTGGAGAATAAGTATTCAAATTCACTGGCATCACATATGTCAGGCTCTTCCAAAGAATCCCACAGAGTTGGTGCCGTGTTTTGACTAAAATTGGAAAAAGGCAAAATAAAATTACCACAATGTCTCTTTCAAAGTTACTTACTTACTTTACCACATATTTAAAACTCCATCAATATTTAGTACATCTGCCTTTGGACTGGCCTACTATTTAGAAAGAAGTTCCATACCCAAATCTTTATACTGCTCAGTACACTGTTTTGTAATCCTGTCTTCCCCTACATGGAACCTTCCACATGTTGCTGGACTGCTATTCCCATCATCCCTGACTAATGGCTATGGTGTCTGGGGCTGATGGGAGTTGGAGTCCAACGACATCTAAAAGCCATCAAACTGGGGAAGGTTAGCATATTCAATGTGTTTTTCTCACCGCTGCAGATTGTGTAGCTCTTCAACACACAGATTGTGTATTACTTATTATTTTAAGCTATTTGCATGGACTCAAGATTGCAGGTGATCTGACAAGTATTCTGAACATATACAAAATAGTGGGGAGGGGATTCTAGGCAGAATGCAAGCACAACCTAGCCAAATATTGACAGTATCTTCCATATTCGCCTCTTCATAGTAACATTACACTTAGTATTACACTGAATGGTGAGATCTATAATTTTAAAAACAATCTCATTTTAATGTTTCATTCTCCGTTTTCAGAATCTTTAGTAACAAAAGAGATTAGATTGCTTTTCTTTGACAACTACAGATTCTTAATAAGAAAATTATCTTTTGGTTTTATTAGTAGCAGCTGGTATTTTCCCTCCAGCAGGTGTCACTCACATGACATTATATTCCTACTTATCATTTCATATCAAGACTCACCTTTCCCCCCTGCTAAATTCGCATTAAAAATAAAAAATCAAGGCTCACAGAATAAGCAATATTCAGAAATGAAAGTATCAGATCTGGACACGTCTTCTACAATGCAAACAGATTCGAGTAAACCTTATAATTAAAAATGCAGATGAAGAAAATGTTATGAATTCTACTTTTAATATAGTACCACATTTAGTCATAGAATGGTGCTTGGGCTGTATCAACTGATTTGCTGACGGAGATATACTCTTAACCAACTTCCACAACAGATAGAAAACAGAAATTTGGTAATGGGGGAAAGACATTTTTAATGTCTCTCCCTCAACATTTGGGCACATAAACCTGGTTCAGACATCTTAATCCGATCCTGGCTTCCTATCTTGGTTTGTCAGCAGGGATCAACCCACGCTTTCACAGTTTGGATACCCTTCCTTCCTTCCTTGGAGGTTTTTAAGCAGAAATTGGATGGCCATTTGTACTGGATGCCTTAGCTGAGATTCCGGCATTGCAGGGGGTTGGACTCCTTTCTCCCCTTCCAACTCTAAGATCCTATGAAAAAATAGCGGTAGCCAAGACAGAAACACTAAAGCCAGACACACACAGGGAGGAGGGAAGGGGAGTAGAGAACTCATGCGTACAGAAAAAAGAAGTTCCAAATAAGGATATGGTGTTATTGTTGTTTGTTATTTGATCTCTATGAATTCATAGTCCAGCCTTTTGTCTTCATCAAGCTAAGCAAAGAACAACAAGAAGAAAAAATAGAGAAAGTGGGCAGGCAAGGGCAGGAGAGCTGCCTGTCTAGGGTGAGTGGGAGGACATTGATCACAAACTTAGGGGCAATACAACAGTCATCACTGCACTTTAGAATGCGGACCCTACATCAACTTACATATAAGGCATTCCTTTGTATAAATTCTAGGATTTTTGCTATGCAGTAATCAGTACTTGGTGGAGAGATGTATTTCCAGGCAAGTAAAATTATGTTGCTTACTGACTTGTGCTTAGATTGTGCTTAGCTAATTAGTAAAAGTTATGTCACTTAGGTTCCTGCTAGCTCGATGGGGCTTTCCCCTCTTTCCTCCCACTGTGCCTCACCCAAATCTACTCTGGAGCGACAGGTGAGACCCCAGAAAGGAGCTTGGGCAAGCAGAAATGCTTGTGCTGATTGAACAATAAGAGTGTGACACTGAATTCCTCCCTGGGACTGAAGTCCTGTGCAAGTCAGCGGGGATTATTGCTGAGAAGGCATGTACAGGCATTGTGTTGCAAAGCCTTGGCTTTTGATGATGCCCTAAAACCAGATCCATTACTAGGGAAATGTGAGAAGTGCTGTTCTAGTCTAGAGAAACATAGCACCATTTCTCTTTCTAAGCAAAGTGCAGGAGCTAGAACCAAAGGTTGGTGGGCGGGGGGTTGGCTAGGATTGATCACACATCCACTGTTGGGGACATGTGTGCTGCCTTGCTCCCATGACAGCCGCTGCGTGTGACATTGGCATGCCTGTAGTGTGCGCACATCACACTGGCATGCCCATGGCATGCTGATGTCACTAGCACACATTGCTGGTGCATGCTGACGTGCCACATGCTGTGTGCAAGCCACATCATCACATCGCACACATGGCCAAATGGAATCTGGGGGGGGCAGCCCCTTCATTTAAAATTTGTGGGTGCTCAGGAACCCAGGGCTCCCCATAGTCGGTGTTTGGGGCCTATGTTTGGGGCTATCTGCTGCCACTGCACAGGTATTAGGCCTACAATGTGGTTCATACAGAAGCAGGCTAAAGTTGACTATCTCAACTCCACTAGTTCTTTGTATGTACCACTAAGCTGCATTTAATTGGCATGGCAGGAAGAGCAGTCAAGCATCTGAATGGCAGTGATATAGGCTACTGGAAACCCAATGGCCTTCCGCTGTGTCTCAGGCCCTTAAGGATTATCATATGAGCTAATCTGATGGCAGAGTATCTCCAGGACCAGGTTCTTTGTAACTCATGCCTCTAGCAGTACTAAAAATACTGCATGTCAAGTCATATTACTCTATTTGTGTGTGCCACAGGGCACAGTTCTGAACAAGAATGTTAGCTGGATTATGGAACTTTTGAAAAGGGCTACTCCCTAGCAGTAAACCATCCTATTATTTTTTTTAATCTACATTTCAAAACCTGAGTTGAGTATTTTTTTTATATTTCTGCAATGTAATCTCTTTTTGCTTTAGTTGATCTTGAAATACTGCATACAGGTTTCCACTATACGTTTCAAAATAACAGGGAAGCATAACTTTACCTGCTGTCTTGTATTTGTATTCTGGTCCAATAAAGTGGCTTCATAGGACAGGCAGGTTCGATGGCAGGCTTTCGAGGACCTTGGCTTGATGACAATGTGCTGCTGAAAAGGAAACTGGATCCAGGAGGTGGTGGTGGTGGTGGTGGAGGAGGAGGACCTGCTCCTGATGGAGAAAATCCTGGTGGGGGAGGTGGAGGAGGAGGTGGTAACTGACCTGCAAAAGCTGCAGGAAGTGGAGGAGGAGGAGGAGGAGGATGGGGAGATCCCATGCCTGGTGATAATGTTGGGGGTGGAGGGATTGAACCAGGAAGAGGTGGTGGTGGTGGCGGTGGTGGTGGAAACATCTGAGATACAGCACTCCCTGAGGCATGGCCATTATTGTCCGATGTGAGCGAAACACTATTATTCAAACAAGGTATAGTCAGCTTTTTAGGTATTGTTTGGTTATTTTTGACTGTCCGGCTTTCATCTTCACTTGGCTTTATAAAAGTTTCTCTGTCAGTTTGTATACATACAGTTCTGTATGTCTTTGGTGGGTGATCATCTTCAGTCGATACACAGGCATCCTTTGCTTCCTCGCTTCTCCTGTATAATGTATTTTCCAGTTCATTTTCCAAATTTGCAATGACTTCCTCAAGCTTTGCTATGGATGACGCGTGCTCTCCTCGAATATGAAAGACCCTGAGTTCAAACTCGGACTGTGAACAAATAATGAAAAGTCTCCGTTTAAGAAGTATAACTGCAATTGCCATGAAACGTACAGTGCAAGCCTGTGCTTGCTTTCTCAGAAATAAATCCCACAGAACTCACAGGGACCTACTTAGTATGTATAACACTGCAGCCTTAATTGCCTTAGTTATTGCATGCAATGCCTGCAATCACTTATAGTGACACTATCTTATTACCTAAGAGGGAAATTAGGTCTGACACTAGGGCTGGGCAATATCTGTTTTTCAACATGATATATTACCAGTGAAACATTGTGATATATCACAATGTCTGAAATAAGGATGGAGGTATGTAGAGGCACTGGCTGGCTTCACAGTTTTTCCTGCATTGTGATTTTTGCCGGCCCCTGCTCTTGTGATTCGCTGTCTCCTGCAGGAGGCAGGGGAGAGTTGAGCCAGCAGTTAATAGGGGCTGCAGGAATTGAGAATCATTGGCTGGCTTCACAGTTTTGCCCACATTGTGATTTTTGCATAACAAAAGACACACATCATGATTTGTGATATATGGCCTAGTCAAAAATTATGAAACCGATATATCACGATATGGACTTCAAACCAGATTTAGATGATATATTGGCCAGCCCTATCTGACTCACATCAGTGAAAAGCAATACAAGTTACACGTAAGAAGGAAAATGTATATGCTAAGCTACATAAGAACCTAAGAAGAGCCCTGGCTGGAACATACCAGTGGCCTATCTAGTCCAGTAACCTGTTCTCACAGTGGTCAACCAGATGCCTATGGGAAGCCCAAAAGCAAGACCTGAGCACAACAACACATTCCCCATACCTACAATTCCCATCAACTGGGATTCAGAGACATACCACTACATAAGCACACTTTGACAGACAAATTCATGGAGGATACGCCCACATCTCAGTACGTAACTTAGTTATTGTACACTGTTGGTCCTGCCTTTTTTTCCTTTTGAACTACTTCTATACCAGTGATTCATGCCACTGACTATTTCCATTTTAGGAGTTAACAAGGGGGGATTCAAGATAATTAACAGTGGTGTGAAGAAGCTGCCTCCCCTGCTTCCACTGTGGGGCTGTTAAATAGTAGGAAATCTGGTAACGCTGTGGGGGAGAAGCTGCCACCATCATCATAAGAAGTGCTGTACGGAAGGGACAGAACAATCATTGCTGTCACTGTCTCAGGCCTGGCCTGTTTTTTTTGTTTTTTGTTTACATTTTTAATGTATTTTATTTATAAAAAAAGAAAAAAAGCCCCCCAAAATCATGACATTCAAGTTGGTTATTGAATTTTTCTGTCACAGTCTGTGTTTCTGGGAATGAACAGAAATTGTTTATTATTCATTTAAACCACACACCAGAAATGAGACTAAAAATCAGGCTGGAGAGTGACAAAGAATAATCTGAAGGGGACTTCATCAAAACAGAGTATGAGCAGCCCTGAAAGGGAGTTATCAGGGAAGGAGCCTGAGCACCTGGATGTAGAAGATCAACGAAGTCTGGCCTGTCTTGGGAGATCCTTGTGCACATTTGCAGCACTAGTACAGTTCCCAGCCCCTAACCTTTGCTCTTTACGGAGAAGGCAAGGACAAGAAAGCAGCAAAGCTTGTTGGGACTGCTGGGGGGGGGGGAGGATGCAAGTGGCAACCTCATACACCTAACTCTCATCATCATCACTCGCTTCTTTGGTAAACAGTTTGAGGTCTGCATACATGTGCTAGCAATAGCCATTTGAGGAAAGATTTTGAGGAGGGGAAAGGTCTGCAAGCCTATTTTCCTGAAAGACAAGTTAGTGTCTACCATTGGTAGAGAGACCCTCCCCTTGCTTGTGTAAGCTGTTCACCCATCTACATCCTGGGAGCAGTCTCTACTTTGTTTTTATTATACCATGACTACTGAAAATAAAACACACTCTCCCAAAATTAATATGCAAACATGAGTCTTCTTAGTATCTTTTATATGGGGAATTAGACCTGCTTGGAAGCTTGTGGTGGCGCTGTGGGTTAAACCACAGAGCCTAGGACTTGCCGATCAGAAGGTCGGCGGTTCGAATCCCCGTGACAGGGCGAGCTCCTGATGCTTGGTCCCTGCTCCTGCCAACCTAGCAGTTCGAAAGCACATCAAAGTGCAAGTAGATAAATAGGTACCGCTCCGGTGGGAAGCTAAATGGCGTTTCCGTGCGTTGCTCTGGTTCGCCAGAAGTGGCTTAGTCATGCTGGTCATATGACCTGGAGGCTGTACACCGGCTCCCTCGGCCAGTAAAGCGAGATAAGCGCCGCAACCCCAGAGTTGGTCACGAATGGACCTAATGGTCAGGGGTCCCTTTACCCCTTACCTTTAAAGTAAGTAAGTAGGTAAACTAATGAAGAAAATGGTTTCACTGCTCAATACCAGAAACATGAAGTAATGAATTGACAATAAATTTTATATATTTACCTACAAATATTTTTCAGGCAAAGGAACAAATTTAGGGGAGGGAGAAAGAGGTTCATAGACTCTTCTGGCGTATTGCATGATATTCTCCTTCTTTTCACAGCTGCTTCTTTCTTTACCCAGAAACAGCAATAACACACTTGGGCTGTCACACACTTCACATTAAATAACAACAACAACAATACAACTTGTGCATACCCCCAAAATTGGTGGCCTTGAAAAAACCAAAACCCTTGAACAAAGAATACATTTGTTTTAAATTTTAGCAACTACAATCAGAGGCTTAACAATGAAAGGATATTTGGAAGAACCAAATACTGTATGCCAATTTGCTTAAAAATCAAAATTCCTTTCTCGAGACACCTCAGCCATCATAATCTGTTTCATATGCTGCATTAATATTGTCTTCAAGGACAAGCATTTCATTTTATTCCCAATGCATGGACTGGGAATAACATAATTCAAGACATGACACATGCAAAAATCCCCAGGACACTAAAATATTTGTGTTGTTTAAGAGGTGTCTATGGAATCCAAATGTGCATGTGAGTGAATGAGAGATGCAATTACATGTAGGAGATGTGGCAACGGAAGATTAACAGAAAGCGTAAGGTTACCAAAATACTATTCGGGGGGGGGGGAATTGCAGAAGCATATATATTATATATGGAACTGCTTGATTTAAAACATTACATATGCAGCAGTGGATCTGGATCTGGACTTCTTGAGAGCAAAGCTCCAAGTACAGAATATTTGCAGTGGAGAATAGGCAAAATGATTTCTTCCAACTCCTTCTTCCCCTTTGCTCCAGAAGGGCTGGAGAGCCTTCTAGTACAGTGTGGGAAGTAGCACCTGGGGGGCTGCAGTTGGAAGGGCGAATCCTCCACCGGGAATCTTCAAATTACAGCCATATCTTGGTTTTAGAACAGCTTAGAACAGCTCCCAAACACCGCAAACCCGGAAGTGACTGTTGCATTTTGTGAATTATTGGAAGCCGGACATCTGACTGGGCTTCCGCGGCTTCTGATTGGTTGCAGGAGCTTCCTGCAGCCAATTAGAAGCTGCACTTTGGTTTCCGAACGTTTCGGAAGTCAAACGGACTTCCAGAACAGACTCCGTTCAACTTCCAAGGTACGACTGTAGTAAATGGATGGAGTCCTGCTGGTAAGCAGTCCTCTACCTTGCTTACTGGCTTCTGGGAAGGTCGTGCAGGGGTCCTGGGATGCTCTCAGAAGCCTTGTGCCCAAAGGTTGGTAAGCAAGGCGCCACCTTCCTTACTGGTCCTCTGGGAAGGATGTGCAAGGGCTCTGAGAGTGCCCAAAGGCCCTCAAGTGACCATCCCAGTGCCTGGTAAACAAGACAGAGGGCTTAAAAAGCTCTTTCTGTGGCAGGCTGTTACTCCTGCCTGGCATGGAAGGACCGTAGGGGGGAATAAGTACAGCAATGCCACAAAGTCTTCTGCTATGCTGAGGTTCAAGATAACCCTTCTGCTTTTCAACAAGTCTTCACAAGTCAGTGACATTAGTGGCTATTTTCAAATGTACAGCTATTAATTCTAATGAATGAGACTTGATTCTCTAGCAAGAGGTAGAGGGAGAGCAACACCCTAGAATGCACACTTTATTTCAGCTGTTGCCTGGGAGAGGCAATTACAATGAAGTTCTATCTTGAGAAAATCGTAGTGCCTTAATATTAATGAGTAGGCTTCTTGCATCATTAATCTTACTGCGATCTGACAAGTTTTGTGTTAAGAAGGGGGGAGGGGGGAAACCTAAGATAAAAAGATATGCCAAACAAGTTGTAGCAGCAGAAGGTTCAATGGTGTGGTCAAATGAGAGTGGTTGGATCTAATAAGAACACGGTGTGGACTAGAGGGTGATTGTCTCTGATCTTGGAGAATGTTTTTGGACACCTCGCAGCTCTTTTATTGCTGTAGCTGATTAAAATGAAAAGCCTCACAACTAAAATGTTCTTTTTGATGAGGTTTTCTTTCTTTTTTTTACCATGAACTATAGACCTTGTAGTCCAGTGGGACAGAAACCCTTTGATCTTCAGCAGTCACATAAATTCAAGGTCATAAAACAGCGTTGGATTGGATTTTATTAGTGTGGCTGATGCCAGACTTGTAGAGTTGCCATGCTTCTGAGGCAACCACGATCCCACCTTCCTATTCTTTCCATCCAGGTTTTTGTATGTGAAACCACATTACTATTTTTTTGCGATCTGAAAAAAACAAACACCAGAAAAGAAAGGCGAACTGGCAAGAAGACTCGTGGATTAAGCCATAATTTTTAAAAGCTGGTATTAGAGAAGAATATGCCATTATTCAGCGTACGTTAAGTCCATGTTTTGTCAGCCAAAAACATATATGCAGAAAACAAAAGTGAGCATCAGGGAATGAAGTCAATACATTCCTGGTTCAGCTCTGAAACTGGTCCAGTTTCATTCCAGTTCAGGTCAACAAGTGGTCAGGAACACAAATATAATAAAAGACACTCCAATTTCTAGTATAATAGACCATTTATATCCATACAAGATACCCCTTAGAGACACTATATGTT